GCAGGTGGCCCTCTTTCCTCAAGTAGCCTCCGTTTCACAGGCCCTGTTGGAAGGTTAAAAGCCACTAAAAGGGCCGAGTCAGCCATAAAACGAAGGATCTTAATTCCATGACCTTTTAAAATATGTAATTACTCAATATTCAACCAATATTTAGCAAGCATTTATTCTGCATACATTTTTTAAATATTGAAATGTTCAAAAGCTGAAAGAAGTATACTGCTAATACCTGCGTTCTAGGTAAATAGTAAAATAGGCCACAATTAGGAGTGGTATTATGCAGATCATGGTCTCTCTTTTTTTTAAATTTCATTGTAAGTTTCTACATCACCTAAACACATCAATTATAAAATTGTTCTTTCTCCTTCATTTTCAGGTGTGTAGAATAATGGTAAATAAAATTTTTTCATGATGCCCATTTTGTAGGTACACAAGGTTATAGGCAGTTCAGTATCTTAAAATTTAAACTTTCATAGAAATATAAATGCATATTGAAATATTTGGATATTGTATTAGGAATGGCCTAGCCCTGGCTGGTTTAGCTTAGTGGATAGAGCGTGGGCCTGTGGACTGAAGGGTCCTGGCTTCAATTCCAATAAAGGGTACATGCCTGGGTTGTGGGCTCAATCCCCAATGGGGGCCATGCAGAATGCAGCCAATCAATGATTCCTCTCATCATTGATGTTTCTCTCCCTCTCTGAAATCAATAAAAAATATATTTTAAAAAAACATTTTTTTTAAAGGAATGGTACCTAGACTTGTAAATTCACTTTGAGTTGCAGAGACAACTGGTTTCTCAACACCTCTTTGGAATTTCTCTAGGATTAGGAGAATTCTACAGAGGCTTAATGATAGGGTAGCTCAACAGATAGTATACAAAAACATGTTTATTTACCCAGGGGTTAACTTCAGAGATTGTTTTAATGAGCATTCCTTTTATAATATTCCAGGTGGGAAGTTGTTATGGGATCTGAAATTAAGGATAAGAAAGAAGCTGCTAAAATTTTGGGAGGTGACTTGGGGGTGAACACAATACAATATACAGATGATATATTAATAGAATTGTACACCTGAAACCTATATAATTTTATTAACCAGTGTCACTCGAATAAATTCAATTTAAAAAATTTGGTCAGGGGAAGTTTCCTAATACTAGTAGTCATTGTAGGTAGGACATGTTTACCTCCTAAGGTGACATTCAAGTGGGTTCTTAAACACATTCCTGTGTGAGGGATTAACTCTAAGTGGTCTTTCTCTTTTTGTGTAGTGCAAATAGGAAAACTGACCTGCATTGACTTTTAGATAAAGTGAGAAGAGAATAAAGTACGGTATTTTTTTAAATCTAAAGTAGATTATTTTTCTTAGAAAGTGATAGTAAAAAATTATTGATGGATATCTTTGCTGGAATCTAAAAAATAGCTCATATTCCAGGACAAAAGGGCCCCCAAATCATCTCACTTTTTCCTTCCTCGCCTTCTGAAGCTACTTTTTTGATGTGTTCAGCATTTTTTAAACATTTTTTTCTTGATTCATGACAGTTTAGCTCCAAACTTGGACTATATTTTTATAACTTTAAAATAAAACAATTGCTTTTGACATGAATTTTTGCATACATACATAAGTTAGACCAAATGGGCAAAGTCTTGGGCAGGTAGCATTTGTGATGTGTTATATTGGAAGAAATGTTAAAGGGTCGCAAAGATTAGAGTCATAAAAACAAACTGCTTGATTTATAAATGCATTACTTCTGGTGCTCTTTATAATGGGATATATTGAACTAAAAATTTGTATAAATGATATGTCAGCATTTCTTAGTAACTTCTTGAATCCATTTTTAATATCTAATATTGTACAGGTTGAGGAGTTATACTTTTCAGGCCAGTACTATCCAGACTGTATAAATTTATAAAATAAATTGAAAAATTCATCATTCCCTGGTATTCAAGACCAAAGCACATAAATGCTAATGTAGGGCTCAGAGGGGAAATATATTTCTCCTGAATATTTGAGAAAATGTGAAGTCCTTTCAGGAAAATCTAATAAACATAATAATCATAGCCTGCTGACACTAAGGAAAAAGGACCTCATTTGCTCTTTCTTTTATGCAGCGATTTACTGGTCCCTACTGATTTCCAAATTGGATCACTGTAGTAAATTATCTATGCTGGTACCTGTGAAAGTAAGCCCTGGGATCCACATTTGTTTTGTGTTCTGCTTAAATCAGCAAGAATGATAAATTTGCTGGTGTGGAATTGGAAGTGTCAAGGGCTTTCTCTGGTGATTGAGCAAAATAATGTCTCCACTTGTAATTTATTGTGCCCCTTTTTCACTGTATGTTCTTTGTATATCTAATATTTATTTCAGTACAAATTAAATTGTTGTTCCTTCATCTGTATTGTTATATCTAAGATTTTATTGATGTAAAAATCAAATTGTGTAATAAAAACCTCTCTGGATTTAAGCAGATTTGAAAATGTTACGTTGCAGAAAACATTTACAGTTAGAATTCAGCTTTCCATTGTGCTTCATTGCCTTATTGTTAGGATAAGGAGAATTTGAACATTTCTGTTGTCCTCAGTTCATCACAAATAATAGAAATGGTAGAATTTTGTGGTCTAATATGAAACTGGAAAGAGAATTACAGTGGATCTCTCCGCAGCTTGCCTGCTTCCTTCTGTACTTTTTTTGTTAGTGAAATTCACAGCCTACTGTAAAAGTTTTTTATAACCATAAAGTGATTCACAATATACAATACATCCAAAGTCATAAGTCAATACAGGACAACACAAGAATATATTTTCCATCTAGGTGTTTATAGTTGGCAGATACTTATTTTTTGTGTCAATTTTTAACATGTACTAAGCAAAACACAGTATAACCAAGTTAAATCTTTGTCCATTTAGAGGTCATAAGGTAAGAGGCATTATGGAAATCAGTTGTGTAAAGACCATTCTGATAGTTGAGTAAATACTAAATTAGTACATGAATTATCCACATAAGGGGAAAAGAGTATTAGGAAAATGGATTTCCTAAAGATTTAATGGTGAAGAGTCTTCCCTAAGAGTCTTATACATTGTTGATGCATATGCCCTTCCCTTTACTGTGTGGGACTACATGGAGCTGTTTTATAACATAATTCTGTGCTTTGAGAAGGGAAGGGTCATCATTCCTCAAGGCTGGCTGAATGGAGAGACCCCTCAAAGAAGTGGCCCACCGAGATCCTTGAGAGTTGTCAATCTAAGCAGGTGATTTGTCAACAAAGTGTTTTTAAAAATTTATTATGGTGAGTTATGAACTTACATAAAAATAGAATGTATCATGAACCTCCCTTCTATTACC